TGAGGACAGAGACACCGTGGGAAACGCAGACAGAAGGCTGATGGGGCCATGTGACTTCACAGACACCACACGGAAGCGGCCGCGGGCTGACCGCTGTGCTGTGTCCAAGTCCTGACCGCCAGTGGACAGTTCACACTCAGGGGCAGCTGAGGTTCAGGAAGTCACGAAGACGGGCCCTAACCTGACAGCGTCTGTGTCCTCCTGAGCAGAGCCAGGAGAGGCTGAGCCACGGAAGTCAGAGTCAGAAGAGAAGCGGCCTCTGCAAGCCAGCCAGGAAGGGCCTGGCCGGAGCCTGGCCACACTGGCACGCTGACCTCGCTCTTTCTCCAGGGTGGCGATGGGAAGATTCCGAAAGTGACAGTGGAATGCACGGGAAAAAACGAAGCTGCCATCCTGGAAGCCGCACAGTGCACAGAAAAGGGTTTGCACAGCCGCTCTGAGCTGCTGTCCCCACAAAAGCCCTGGGCAGGTCCCGCCACCGGTGCTGGGGAGAGCGAGCCCAGTCTCGGGGCACCACCAGCCCTCTGGAATCTGGCAGTTGCGAAAAGGTTTCCATGTGTAACTCTCTCCTGGGACCTCCCTGCTGGCCCAGGCACCCATTCAGGTACTGCACATTCTGCCCAGACGCTCGGACCCTGCTGGTGACGGCACAGCAGCTGGCCCTGGGGCCCTGGCAGGGGCCGCTTCTTACAGCCGGATGCCCAGACCCACAGCCGGCAGACACCCAAACACCAGGCCCGGTGCTGCTGGCAGAGGTGAGGTGTACGTTCTCTGATACTCAGTGTGGGCAGAAAACTGTCCTATTTTACCCAAAACACAGACGACAACCGTGCCTGGACTTGAACTCAGTGATCCTAGGAGACAGACTCTCCAGTGTGATGGCTAACAGAGGTGCTCAGAGAGGAAATATTGAAACGGAAAACAGCTACTGCTGGGGAGGGAGGTGGTTTCTCTGGGAACAGTAAAATGTTGGCTTTTTCCATTTTTCAAATCCGGTTACCCTTGGGCTGTGTCTTTGATGTTAATGTAGCTAAACCCCCAGTGAGAGGCTCACAATTTTATCAGGAGAAGCAGAGATGAACGCTGGGCTCTCTCGCTACCACTTCCTTAATCTGGAAGCAACTTCCTCAGGCGCCATGGAACCCAAACAGGGGTGCAGTCATTTTCTCCTCCGACCTCTCACATCGGCAGCATCTCCCACGCTCATGGCCAAATAAACTACAGTATTTTCACCAGGCCACTCAGACATTCTGATATTGAAGACACTGTCGCTCTTGCCGGGGGAAGAAAGGACAAAGACACCAGGAAGTCCGATGTTCCCCACTCCTGCCGGTTTGGCAAGAAGCCAGTGAGTCACTGAAAACTCCGAGCCACATGCTATGCCAGTCCCTATGTGCCCGGGAGCCCTGCTCTCTGCTGCCCCAAGGCTGGAGAGAGCAGGTGCGGGTGTGGCCCCACCACCCAGGGCAGGAGCCCAGCGGGCAGCATCAGACAGCTCCTTCCTTTGGGGAACGACAGGATTCCTACCATTACGCTTTGGACTTCTCTTTCCAAAGACAACACAAAATGAATGAATTCATTTAAGACCTTGATATTGGGAATCTGGTGACCTACACAGGGAAGAGGTTTAGTTTGATCCCAGGAAGGACACCAGGCTGATGCAGGCCTCCCCTGGAGGGAAATCAGCTCAGACCCAGGGTGCCACAAGCACAAGGCATTGCCCAGGGTCACGGCCAGGAGGGCCCGGGGCTTTGCATTCATCCTCAGCCAAGCTGAGGAGCAACAGCAGGAAGTCATGCAGGTAAACACCATTTTGTTCCTTTTTGTACGAAGACACCAACATTTTACATTTTTATTTCCACTCAAAAAGAATTTAGAGAAGGTAAATACCCATTTAGTTTGGCCAAGATTTCCCAGGAGCCTCTGGGCTAGGGATGTGCATATCCCAGTGCTTACCCGCTCTGAGGGCCCCAGACCCCGTGGGCCGACTGCTCCGGCAGCTCCAGGGAGCAAAGGCTGTCATGTGGAGCCCAGCAAGAGTCGTGCCCATAGCCGGCCAGTGTCCTTCAGGGCCCCGTCCTGATGGCTAGCAGCCCCCTGCTTTCTGAGGTCGGCTAATCCCACTCCCTGCAGCAAGAAGCTGGTACAAGCTGATTTAGTTCATCGATTTTCTCCACCAGGAGAAGCAGTGGCTACAGGGAGAGAGCTGCTCCCAGGAGCAAGGTTTCCTGGGACAATTCCCCAGCCAGCCTCACTGCGTCCCGGGTGTCTGGATAATCCAGCAGGAGGGAGCAAGCACTCCAAGGGGCACTGCTGAACCGGTCCACAGGAATTGTAGGGGAGACATCGGCTTATTGGCAAGACAGAGGCAAATTCACTTGTGCAGAGCATCTGCCCTCCGGCTGTCTCTCCTGGAGCTCAGTGTTGGTTCAAAACAAAGGTCTGCTCTGGGCCGGCTGTGCGAGGTCATCCCTGCACTCCGAGGCCCACAGCGTGGCCTCTCCCAACTCGGTAGAGGGAGGTCCCCGCTTCCTCCTCATGTTCCCCCCGGCTCTGCCGTCAGAGAAAACAGACCCCTCCTCCTCCCAAACATCTGAAGCTGGCTTGTGTGTTAGGGTTGCTGCATGACGCATGGTGGTCTCCATCCCCGGGCCTTTTTGATAGGAGCCAGTCAGGTCCTGGGAAAGCAACTGCACCTCGATTTCCACCTTCCCCTTAGAGATCCTAACCCAGCTTTGGGGTCCTGTTGTCACCCACAAGGTCACTTTTAAGTACAGGCCTATTAGGCTCGGCTACCTGAGTCCGTCTGTCTGTCTCTCTACATGGCTACATACAGATGAACCAAGGAGCCAATGGGCGGATTCCCCCTGAAGACAAAACACCTGTGCAGCCACCAGTTGTAGATCCCACTGGGAAGTGAGGAAAGCTGAGCGCTAGTGCGTGCAGTCTGCTGTTGCAAAGCCACAGCGCGCGACGGAGGAGACCAGAGGACGGGTGCCCGTCAGCAAGACAGAGCTCCTCACTGCTCACCAGCACTCACCTCGCTGTGCGTGTGTGAACACCCTAGGCCGTTCAGCCAGTTTCACAGTGGAAGGAAAATCAGCCTATTCTCATAGACTGCAGAAAAAGTGAGACCTTACGCTAATTAAAGATGTCTAGGAAACTCAGCGTCCGCACCACATCCTGGAGAGGACTCTGGAAAGCCTCCCGGTGGACGTTTCTCTTTCTCACCAGATTTCTAGTTTTTCGTCTCTGCATGCAGGCACGTAGCCCACTCAAGGCTGCCGTGGCTGTGTGACTTGCCTCAGTGAATTATAGCTTCGCCTCGGTTCACGAACATAATTCCCTCCGCCATTCTGGCTGCACACCGAATTGGACGAGAACTGAATCAAATTCCCCCAAAAGCTCAACGTTGAATCTAACCACTGAATTTGATTTGGTTCTTGTCGAACTCGGTTTGCGACCAGAATCATGGGAAGAATGAAGTTCATGAGCTGAGGTGCCAGTGTGATACTAATACAGAGCATGCCTCCACAGGCAGTTCCCCTCCCGCACGCTTCCTCTGAAACCAGGAACTGGACATGGGCTTGGAGCAGCCACCAGGTGAGGCCCCGGGGTGTGGGGACTGCAAGGCCAGCCCTGCCCTCCCTCCCGGGTCCTCCCGCCTCACCGTGCTGATGTGACAGTCCTTCCCCTCTAACCCTGACTCAGCCACGCCACTGCCACCGAATGTCTCTATCTCCCATCAAGAAAACTGAAACCACCCCTAAGAAGAGGAAAGTAAGACCTGAAACCATGCAAATTACACAGGAATCTGTGCTGACTACTGCACGCATATTTTAGTTCTCAAACTTTGCATTTTTCAGTACAAATTTAACAAATAATGCAGATGAGTCAACGTAAGGGCAAGAATCTGTTGTCCCCTGAGGTGTGAGGCATTTTGCATTCACTGTAAAGACAATATTAAGACAAACGAAACACTTCCATTATATCCCACATTCTCGCAATGTGCTATGAGGGTGATACGTTTCCATGTGGACTTGGATCTTTTGAGTGCCTTTTTGATGCAAAGTAACTATACTCTCTAGCTAATCGGTAAGCTGAAAACAAAAACAGTGTGTCTCTGGGAGGCCCTGAGTTCCAGTTTCTCTCTTTATACTGATAAAATGTTGGCATTAGTCAGGAATCGTGTTAAAGTGCGTGTGTGCGCGCACACCCATGTCTGAGTGCATAAAGACACAAACAAATGCAATGGCTTAGGCGCCTTAGAACAGAGTGTGTCCACCATGAATCTTTTCCAAATATGCCAAGAGCATTCCCCATGGAGATGCGAAACAGGAAGACCGAGCATTGCCTCTCCCATGTGGCCTTTCCAGGAAAAGGCACGGAGCAAGAAATCAACTTCCACGCTGTCAGCAATGGCAAAGACAGCATCTCAGAAGCCTCAGTTCTGTTGCTTCATTTTTACCCACCGAATATATGGCAAGAAAGCATTCATACGCAAATATACATTTCCGGTCTAAATCTATGTTCTTGAAAGAAGGCTCCAGTCTACCGTCAGAGAGGAAACTTTTAACACATTTGAGAGACCCACAAGCCCATGAAGGCAAGGCCTGCCCTTCTCAGATGCTGCTTCAGAACAGCAGCCACACATGAAGACGGAGGGTCTCACAGATGCAACCTTGTTACGTGTCCCTTTGAGAATGCAGAAATGAAGCCATATTTTCTCATGAAAGTTAACACTGATACTTGTAGCACAAGTGACTACTTTCTGTCTATCATGGACCCACCACGGACTGCGGCCGCAGTAACCAGCAGAGAGCACTTACACCAGTCGGACGGACAGATGGACGGGCGGACAGCAGGCATCGGCCTCAGCACACTCACGCGTGATTCCACTACACACACGCACAGCCTGCCCGGCTGGGCTGAGCTTGGCCTGCCCCTGCGCCTGCCCCTGCGCCTGCCCCTGCCCCTGCCCGCGGGCACGCATAGCCTACCTGAGACAAGTGAGACAGTGTCTTTCTCCCATGAGATGACAGTGACGTACGCCTCCACCAAGGGGGGGATAATGCACTTGAAGACCGCGACATTGCCTCTCATGGTCTTCTGGTCCTCCACACGGACTGTATAGGGCTCCCGTAAAACTGCAGGGCAGGGAGAGAATGGTCAGCCGAGCCCGTCATCAGCCCGATAGCATCACACTGCCCCTACCCTAGAGGATGAGCCCATCAGGCTGTCGGGCAGGGAAGGAGCTCCTGGACGGACAGCGGCTGCCCAGTTACGCTGACGGGAAATCGCCCTTGGTCCTCTGAGGCCCAGGGAAGAATTTTCTGACTGTTAAAGACAAAGTCAAAAAAGATAACCTTTCTTGGAATCCTTCAATACAGTTAAAATAATCCTTCCTAGCTGGGTGTGCTGGTGCATGCCTGCAATCCCAGCACTCTCGGAGCCTGAGGCACGAAGGTACAAGTGCAGCCTGAGCAACACAAGGACCTGGGGAGACCCTGTCTCAAAATAAACAGGAAGGAACAAAAAGGGGCTGGGGTGTAACTCAGTGTGAAAGCCCTGGGTTCGAGCCCCAGGTTCCGCAAAAGAAATTCTCATTGGTGACATGTTTATGAGCGTTGAAAAGCAGTTTGGGAAATTTTAAGAATTTAGCTTCCCGTTCCTTGGAGAAGGCTGCGAACTAGGGCATAAGGACAAACACTCCCACCAGTAGGAGCATCCTACAAGGAGTTCCAGGGACCCTTGCAATGTCTGAGCTCAGAGGCAGAGGGTGCTGGTGCTCAGTCCTCCACCAGGGCCTGGGTTCAAATTCACCCACTCACTCCTGGCAGGGCTGCGTTTCGGCAGAAGAGCCTGTCGCTGACTGAGCCTGCCCCTCCGCCCCTCTCATTGGCATCAGTTCTCAGTGTCTCCCACTAGGGAGAACGTCTTCATTCCTGCAGAGGAACAGAGACCCCACTCGTGAGCTCCCACTGCTGGGCTCAGGGCACGCAGGAGTGAGTCTCAGCAATCCATCCCACACCTGCTGCAGCAGGGAGTCCAGCTTCAGGAGCAGCCTCGAGCACAGGGGAGGAAGGCAGGGCCTGCACAGCGACACCTGCACACGCAGCCTCAAGAAGAGCTGCAGGAGGTCTGGAGACAGGTGAGGAGGGACCCGAACACAGTGCTGTTTAGGAAAATGACTGCAGTAAAGGCGACACTGCCACAAGTCCCCCTCACAGCAAACACCCTCCTCCCGTTGTCCTTGCCACTTCCTGCAGCAGCTCTGAAGCCCTCTCTCCTGAGTGTCTTTAGTTGCAATGCTCTGGCTGCCTTGATGTCCTGAATGGATTCAGAACATTTCCCTTTAGTGGTCATTATGTATTTGGGAAGAGCTGGAAGTCACATGGTAGCAGATCTGGTGACTAAGGTGGATGAGGACACAGCATCAAGTTTTTACAAGCTGCCTTTCCATAGGATGGCGCTGGGCAGCAGTCACCATATTTCTGACCACACTTCATAAAGATGCTCAGGAAAGAGGACCCCAGAGCTGCTGCAGAAGTGGCCAGGACGATGGGATGAGTGTGTTCAAAGTGAAGGGAAGGACTTTGAATGGGGATTCATGGCAATGTGGCTTTTACTGTATTACATTTAAAGGTTAAACATTCATGCATATTGTAACCATACATCATAGGCTGGAAAGAGATGTAAACTAATGCATTTGTTCAAAAGAGAAAGAGAAAGAGGGGCTGAGCAAGAGAGACACAGGCACGACAGGCAACAGACAGACAGGCAACAGACAGACAGACAGGCAGGCAAGGGGGCCGAGCAGGTGTGAGTCCAGCTTCAGCTCACACGACTGCTTCTTGTTTCTTTCTAAGCTATAAAGTCTCCCGTCTCCCCAGTCTTCCGCAGACTGCTGCTCACATGCAGGGAAGTTTAATAAGCACCAGGGAAAGACCAAGCTCTCAGTCTCAGACAGGAAGCGCAGAGAGAAAACATTCACCGGAGACACAGTCAGCAGCATCCCGCCAGGGGCCACGGGTGAGGCCTGGCACCACTGCCGGAAAAGCACCAGGAGAGCAGCCGCCCTTTCCTGGGGTCGGGAGCCCCTGGCCACCTTCCCAGGGCGGCCTGCACTTCCTCCACCTGCAGCCGCTCCCAGTGCAGGAGTCATGGCTTCCATACCCCCGGAGCCGGGCTGTCCTGGAGCAGGGTGTTGCCTCCGCCCTGCACTGCCCGCAGGTGTTCAGAGAGAAGGAGAGGGGAAGGGGCCTCTCTTGCCAGCCCTCACCGCATGGAGGCGTTTTCTCTGCACAGTCCTGCGTCCAGCCAGGGATTTACCTTAGCTCACCTAAGGGGGCGTGGGGTAGGACAGGGGCTCCGTGAACACAGGTACCCTGGTATCTGCAAACTGGATTGGCTCTAGGACCCCTCAGGGATTAAACCTGCAGATGCTGGGGTCCCTGAGATAAAGGCTGGCCACTGTGGTATGCACCTGGAATTCCAGCTCTTCAGGAGGCTGAGGCAGGATTGCTTGCTTGAATACAGAAGTTCAAGAGTAGCCAGGCAAAACAGTGAGGTGTGCATTGAACTTATTATTTTTCTTTTTCTCGTCATATTGCTCTGGCTACAATTCCCAGTGCAAGGCAGAGCACACGTACTGCAGTGGCAGCACACACCGGTGTTGTTCTCCATCTTAGGAAGGGAACATTTAATCTTGCACCATTTTAGAAAATGTTGGCTATATTAGGGTTCTTATTCTTGCTTTTTATCACTGAGCAAGTTCCCTCGTGTTACTAGTTTCCTAAAAGTACTTTTTATCATAAGTGGATATTGGATTTGTCAATGCTTTCTCATCTGTTGAAGTAGTCACATGGTTTTTACTTTAAATATCTTAATATGGTGAATTACATTGATTTACAAATTTGAAGTCTACCTTGCATTCTGGAGATAACCCCTCCATGATCATAACATACCATGTTTCTTCTTTTTATATATTATTCAATTTGTTAATGCTTTTAGAATTTTAACATCTATATTCATAACAAATACTTATTTGTAGTTTTCTGGTAATGACTTTGTTTTGAGTATCAGGGTAATATAAATAAACATAATAAAATGATTTGGGGAAATATTCCTTCTTCCTCAATTTTCTGGAAGAACTTTTTAGAATTTTTATTATTTTTCCTTAAATATTTAGCAGAATTCAAAGTGAAGCTATTTCAGCCTGGAATTTCATTATAGGAAAATTGTTTCTATAAATGTGATTCTTTAATGATATAGGGCTACTCGGTTTAATTCTTCTTCAGTGAGCTTTGGTATTCTGTGATTTTTAATGGATTTTTTTCATTTAAGTTATTGAATTTATTGCTATATACTTGTTCTTAATATTCTCTTAGTATTTTTATAATAACTGTAGAATGTCTAGAGATGTCACCTCCTCCTCAATGTTGGTCATCTGCCTTCTCTCTTATTTTCTTCATTCTGACCAGCAGTGCATAAATTTTAGCAATTATTTTCAAGGAAACAGTGTCATAGACTTCCCATACTGTTCCTGTTTTAAAATTGATTGATTTCCATTCTGAGTTTTATTATTTTCTGCTTATATTTTTAATTTTCTCTCTTTTAGTGTTAAAGTGGAAAATGAGAACATTATTTGAATCCTTTTCTTTCATTTCTAATACATATAAGCTTTTAGGGCTATAAATTTCTCCTCCAAATATTGCTTTAATGATATCTTCTTTTCTTCCTTTCTTTTTTTATGGCTGAGGATTGATCCAAAATTCTTATATATTTTTTGTGTTCATTTTCTTTCAGTTCAAAAAGCTTCCTAATTTCTTTTCACTAATTTTCTCCTAATTTTTCTTCTGTCTTTTGGACACATAATAATTTAGAAGTGTGTTAGTTTCCAAATATCCGATGATTTCCTGGAGATTTTATTATTAGTAATTCTTAATTTAACTCCATTGTGATGAAAGAACATACTTCATCTGACTTGAATTTCAGTAGTTCATCTGAAGTTTGTTTTGTTGACCAGAATATGGTATATGTTAGTAAATGCCCACGTGTACCAGAAAAGAACACAGACTGTTCTTTATTTTAATGTTAATTGGGCCAAGTTAACTGATACGGTAATTCTAAGATTCTTTATTCTTATTGATTTTCTGTCTATCAATTACTTAAAGAGGGGCATTGGAATGTCCAACTATAATTTTGACTTGTCTCCCACTGCAGTTTTCTCAGTTTTTATACTATGTATTTTGAAGTTTATTAGGTGCACAAACATTTAGTGTGATCATGCCCTCCTAATTAATTGATGTCTTTTACACTATGCCATGAGCTCTTTAGCTCTAGTATACTCTTTGACACACAGTATATTTTGTTTGATAATAATTCAGCTCTGTGACAGTGTTTCTTCATGATTAGGCTGATGTGACTCCATGAACATGGTATATCTTTCCCCATCTTTTATTTGAACCTATTTACTGTGGTTTAGGTCTGAGTATGGCCCACAAAGGCCCGTACACTGGAAGCTCTGTCTCCCATGTGGGATTCGTGACATGGCAGAGCCTTTGAAAGGGAGCCAGGGGCAGCTGGCTGGGTCACTGGGGTGCTGCCCTCAGAATGGACTGATGTAGTTCTTTGAGCCCAGTTAGTTCTCGGGGGGTTGGGTTTCTCTAAGAACAGGAGGCCTGGTCCAGAATCTCTCCAGCTCCTGTCACAGCATGAGTCCTGCATGTGGCTCTTTACTCTCCATTTCTCAGCCGTGTTGTGACTCTGCTAAAGACACTCTCAGCAGAGACTAAACAAAGAAAGTTCCAAACATGTGAGTTCAACAAATGTCTTTTTAAAAGATGAAGTATAGGGCCGGGGATTTAGCTCAGTGGTTCTGGCACCTGCCCTGCAAGTACAAGGACCCGAGTTCGATCCCCGGTACCAAAAACAAACAAACAAAAGTATACAGCCCCAGGTACTTTGATACAGCAACAGAAAACTAACTAACACCCTACTGTACCATTAGATTTAAATTATTTCTTTAAGCAGTGTTGAATCCAATCTGACAATCTCTGCCTTGTAATTTAGATGGATTGAACATTTACAATGTAACATAAATAACGGACATCCTTGGGTCTAATTCTGTCATTTCACTATTTGATTTTTATCATTATCACTAGTATTTGTTTCATTTTTCTTTATTTTCTTCTTGATTTTAGATTATCTTTTAGGGATTATTTTTTATCTTTTGTTGGCTTATTAGCTATGTCTTTGGCCAATTTTTTAAATAATTGCCTTAGGCTTTTTGGTATCCACCTGTAACTCATCTACATTTACATTCAGGTTTTGATACACAACTTCACATATACTAAAAAAATCATATGATATTATATTCCTATGTCTTTATGCCAGGCTTTATTGATACTGCTATCATCCATTTATTTCTATGTTTGTCACAAACACCATAAGATTTTCTTTTTAATGGTCCTTTTTAAAAAAAATTTTAGAAATAATTCCTTTATTTGCTCGTTACTTGTATTCCAGTAAAGACTTATTCTTTAAGAATAAAAAGGGTCGGGAATTTAGCTCAGTGGTTCCGGCGCCTGCCTCGTAAGTGCCAGGTCCCGAGTTCAATCCCCAGTACCAAAAAAAGAATAAAAATTATTTTTAAAGTAAATCTAAAGTCTTTGCTGCTTTTTTCTTTATCTCTCTCTTTATTTTTATTAGTTCATGCATGCAGTACATTTCTGCATTCCCTGTAGGGGCCTGCACAGAACACAGCTTCGCCCCCTTTCATCCTTTCCCTCCCCATTCACCTCCCTTCATCTCCTGGTCCCTTCCCACTTGAGAAAGATCTATCTCCCCTTCCTATTATCTATCTTTCATTTTGCTCTTTAGACTTTGGGTGTCTCGTATAAGAGAAACTATGCAATATTTAAGTTTGTGTGTCTGATTTATTTCACTTAACATTAGGGTCTCATGGTGCATTCATTTCCCTACAAATGACACAAATTTCTATTAAAGGATAGAAATTTGGTAAAAGACATCAAGGGTAGAGGGATTCCTCCCACACTGGCCTACAGGATTCTGGCCAAAGGGATGCCTAAAATCTACACAGTAGATTTTAGGGGGTTGAGGAACTTACTTAAATATCTGGGTTGAGGGATGACATCAGAATTCTTGCTGAAAATGGGCATTGAGAGAACACGGACATGGAAGGGGAAAGTTGAGGCCATGTTTAGTAGAGTCTCAGAGGAGCCTAACTAAAGTTAAGTCAGAGAGAGAGTGTCTTCATCATGCATCCCCATATTGAACCTCATTTTATCGCTCCTGTGGTGCATTTAGGAATGAACCTGCTCTACAAATCCGTATGCAGATGAATTTCATCTTCCAGAAATGTGCAGGGCTGACTTTGCCATTTCCAGCTTCCTGATGATCACTTTCGTTCATGCCTGAGGCCTGGGCTCTGTCGCTTCATGCACTTTGTCCTTTCGGATTATTTTTCTTCATTTGGCTTTGGGTTGGTTCAGATACAAGGCTCCTACTTCTCCATCAGGCCACAGTAAGAAGTCTCAGTCACATGTCGCTCACCACCATTTCTTAAAGAGGAAGCCCTCCCTGGACACACCCATTCTGCCTTGCCCCAGGTCACATGGCACATTGCTGCTTGGCACCTACAGCATGGGCCGGGACATCCTGGGTCATGTGGCCCATGGCACCCCAGCCTTTGGAACCCAAAGGGCAAGGAAGGATTTAAATGAGAACTAGGACTGATGAGTAAGAAGACACGATGATCAAACCCCCATCTGTTGCTGGCACCCAGACCTAGGTCAAAAATAGCAAAAATTGATGAGAAAAGGAATTCTGTATCTCCCAAGGAGAGGCTATGATGCACTGCATTACTCCAGGACAACCCTTCCCCCACCTAGCAGGACAGCTGGGATCTGATCCTCAAAAGTGAACCCCATAACCACGGGCTCACTCAGCTCAAACCTGCACTTAACTGTCAGTGTCAACATGTACAGCCTGCCTGTCCTTTGGAAGGACTGCTCCATTCTGCACTGGGTCCACATCTACACACACAGGGGAACCGGGTTTTCAAGCATTTTATAAGTAATGCAAAAGATTAGTGTAAGGCTAGGAGTGTATCTCAGTGGCAGATCATGTGCTTAGAATCCACAATGCCCTGGGCTCAATCCACAGAACCAAATACATACATACAAGATTACTGTGTCCATAATGTGTCCAGAATAGGAAGCAAAATTAGATAAGAAAAGAAATTTCATTTGGGCAATAGGGATGCCCATCTTATACGATCACACCGACAGCAGCGGGGTGTGTGTGTGTGTGTGTGTGTGTGTGTGTGTGTGTGTATGTGTGCTAGCCTCATATGCTGTAGGGCCTCAGCATGTAAACAGCAGTGGCACAACTGTGCAGAAGGGGCGGGTGGTATTGATGCCAGTCATGCTGATGCAGCCCCCATCCCTCCAAAACTTTCAATGTCATGCCAAAACCATCAGTTCTGTGACAAACACAGGAAACATCAGTTAAAGGAGTGAGTATTGGATTCCTTTATCTGACAGGAAACCCTAGACAGAAATAATGGATTAATACACAGGTAGAGCTGTTTGAAATTTCAGGTTTCTCTATGAATGGTGCTTTGAAGACTATAAATATGTTCTTACAATACATCATTAAAATGCTCAGTCTGCCAAGTCAAAAGCAGTCACTATATCTCTGTCAGGATTAGAGGCCTCTATACAAATTTCATTTGCTTTATTTTAATGATTTGACACATTAAAGTTTCATATCTCTTGATTAAAGCCAATTTTTGTGCCTTTCTTTTACACACATTCTTGTGCGTGTTGAGGAATTCATGAGCATGTCACGGAGATCTACCAGAGTTGGGAAAGTGACGAGCTGGTGGAATGAGTCACAGTCTCATGTTTGATCACTTCTATAGGAAGTGATCAAACTTCCTATAGTTCCTATAGCGGGGAGGGAGGGTCTCAGATTTTCCCCGCATCATAATCTCTTCCCCTAGCCCTTCTGCAGCGGCTGCAGCGCTCAATCCAGAACTCCCAACTAGCGGGTGTCTGAGACAACAAAGTCACACTCTCTCTGCCCTGCGTGTGTCAGCCTGCCCAAGTATTTCAAGCAAGGCTTAAAAAACTTAAAATGCTGTTTGCTAACAGAAGCCCAGCTGTGAATTTGTTTTGCAGGGCCCTGCCACATCCCTAGAAGGACACAATATGTCCTATACATAAGGCCTTTGATGTCTGTGTATCTTAGGCTGCCTTTCTGCGATGACTCGTAGCAATGATGACTTTAAAAAGTCACAATATGTTGTTAAAAGGAACATATTTCAGCAATATGTGATACAGTCAAAAGTAGCCTTTTTATTTTACAAGGACATTTGATTGGTTTTGTTTCCGTTATGCATCTATGCTATGTTTTGGTTCCAGCTCAAACGCCTGTCTTTGTTTCTCCTCTCTCCTCCCCGAGGATAGGTCCGGGAAGGTGGGGGGCAGGGAGATGACACTGTGGAGGCAAACACCCCAGAGCGGGCCCCAGAGTGCTGGAGTCCACAATTCCATTAATGTGAGCAGAATGAGCTGGGATGCGGTTCAGAACCATCTACTGGATCATCACTAAGCCTCGAAAGGCTTTCCAACACCGCAAGACACCTGGAACTCAGCACAGGGATGGTGACACCAAACAGAGGGCATAAGCAGTGCCAAGGGGATGGAGGTGGGTTTCCCTTGCCCCTTCCCTGGCACGGCACTTTTACTGTCATCTCTCCCCCCATCCCAAAAAGACATGGAGGGAAGCGCTCACCAGCCTTGATGTGGACATCCTGACTTCTAATTTTCCCTGAAGGATTTTCCGCTGTGCAATAGTAAGTATTATCATGGATTAAGGTGCTGAAGCTGGAGGGGGGGAAGGGGAAGATCTGGAGAGTGCCGTTGGGGTGGACGTGGCGGATCCCGGGGACATCGTAGATCTCTTCGCCTGTCGCTAGGTACCATCTGAGAGTCACAGGAGGGATGCCTGCAGCCGGGCAGGGCACCAGCGTCCCCGAGGTACTCGCGAACACTACCTCTTGCAGAGATGCATTGACGAAGTAGAGGCTGGAGTGTGGTTCTTCACTGAAAACTGTAGGAAGACAACACAAGAGCTGGTGAGGGAAACTTGTCTCCGCAGGGGTGGCCACGTCTGCCTGGCCTGGGTGGGGGGCATCCTGGGAAATACCCAGGGGGGACCACTACCATGAACAGATTCCAAGTTGCTCCAAATACTATGGACAGAGAGCCTGGGATAAGTCCTCTTCCATCCCCTGATAATAACTTTAGCCACATGACTCATACCTTATTCTGTCCCCCTGGAACTGACCACAGTTGGACTTTATGTTCTGTATTTCTGACTCACTGACTGTCTCTCTTCTCCACCAGCACACACACCTCATGGCAAGTGTGATCTGATGCCACCCTCTTAGCTGGAGCACAGAGCCTAACGTCCAATGGACCCTGACAGAGAGGCTCTGGGGAGCCAATGAACATAGCCAGTGGTTACGTCCCAGTGCTCTGGTTATAGGTGCATTCAGACCTCAACTTGAAGGAAATTAACCACAATTTTTTAAAATACTAAAAATAAAGATCATATTTTAAAGGAACAATTGGTTGTCAGAAAATGGAATGTCAATCAAAAACACAGTTTTTGTTGGGAATTCATAAAAACATAAAGAGAACTTTGACCTTGGCATCACCCAGTTATTCCACCCTACAGTTTCTGGGTCTTTTTGGGTTTTTTTTACTGTTTTCCTTCTGTTTCACCTGCCTATAATGCCTTATCTATGTAATTATTCTATGTCAAATGTCCACAATAAAATATGCCATTGTTATAGATTCTGTCTCATTCCTGTAATGTTATATCCCACATATAATTCCTTGTTTCTATAGAGACTTCAATATGCACATTTGATACAATATGACTGTCTAAATTATTTCCCAGACCTTTTTATCTAAATTGTTCCTGTTGTAACTCGTACAAATAAAATGTGCACAAATGCATTTGGCTTTTCAATCCTTTACTGAGTGTCTTGGTGCACTCAGCAGACAGCTCTGAAGGACTATGTGTGAACAAATGAAACTCAACTGCCAGAATCCAAAATTATACAAACTATGTATAAATACCACGAAGGCCTACTTCTCAGCCATCTGTGCTTCTGTGTGACTTTCAAAAGGCCTATGTTCCTCAGAGCGCAAAGGATCGCCAGACATTGGGAGTAGACCTAGCTGTTCAGTGGTGAAAATAACCTTACTGTGTGCCTCTTCCAAGGGGTGACTTCACTTATTCCTGTGGGCAGCAACTCTGCTGCACAACTGCAGGCACTCTGCAGGAGGCCACATGAGGATTCAGGGGCTGTCACCTGACCAAGGATGTAGGGTGGGAACGGGCAGGAAAAGGACTCCCTCTTCCCCAGCAAGGTCTTTGTGATTTGTGTTTTCTCCCCTAGAGCTGCAGATAGCAGAGCAGCCTCCCTCACCTGGGTGGGGCAGAGCAGGCTTCCCCACCCAGGCCTCTCAGTGTGCTCTGGGAGGGCCCCGCGCAGGATGCAGTGGGTCACTGGAGGCTTGTGTGATAAAGTGCATCTGCGCATCCACTTGCACAAGCCCGGGTTACAGGATTTGGTAAGAAAGGTGAAGAGACTGTGTGCACAGACTGGTTCTGGAGCACCCATTCTGAACCTGTCCTTGAATGTGTGGGTAGAGCAGGACCCACCTCAGAGCCTGGACCGGCCCCAGGGCACTGGAGTGGGCGGAGAGCCTGGAGCAGCACTACACAGAGCGAGACGGGAGAGGCGCCCTCTTGGCTGAGAGATGTCTTCCCTATTACCACCAGATTCCCTCCGTAGGGCCACAGGCCCTGCACACCCCCAGCAGCAGAGGTCTCTTCAGCTGAGCATCGCATGCCATCAGGCCCAGTCACAGGGAGCGGCCTTGTCCAAGGACTCACTGGTCAGAAGTGGCCCCAGAGGCCCCAGGTTAATATGAGCAACTCTGACGGGGTCCTGCATGGAGGCTTTGTTGCTAATGCTTTGCAAACAGGGTTCTCCCTCTGCCCATCTGCCTTCCTCCATCCATCCCCAGAACATCTCCTGAAAGTACACCCTGTCAGGCTTTGGCATGGGGCTCCCCCGATCTGAGCGTCTCTTTGCAAGGAACTCAAGGGAGGACCCCAACTGAGAGGAGTGGGCCACTCTCTGTACATTCCTAAAGCTAGGCACAATATTGGAAGACAGCCGCCCAGGACTCCAGGTAAGTCTACCAGAGCACAAGAAATTTTTTTTAAATGAAGATAGAGAAAATGAATGAAAGCCTTAAATCTGGAAAAGCACTGGATATGGAAAACCTCGTAAGCAGCAGCTAAGACTCTTGGGCTCTTCTTTCCTGGGGGCCCACTGAGTATGAATGGTGATGCTATGTGATTTATTTCATGGATAAACATTTCCATACAAGAAGTGAGCATTTATACATCGTCGTGGATGTCACATGAGGATGTGCAGAGTTACATGCAGTACATAATACTTGACAATGGCAATAGCCACTGTAGTACTGTCTTATGTATTTACACTTTTAATCACTACTTTAGGGCGTAGCCCTTCTACTCATGCTTTTTAAAAGGACTGTGAGCACTATGAGCCACACAGCACAGATGTCACCTGAGGAGCAAAGCCTCTCAAGAGGACCTGCTTCTCCCTCGGTTGGAGAATCATCAGTGGACACAGCTCATGAAGCATCCGGCTGACCACGAGTGGTGACTGTGAAGGTCACACACCCGCAGGCCAGCACCTCCCGAGAGGACACTGGCGGGGGTCTCCACCCGATGGGCCCACAATAGAGGGGCCAGTGTCATTCCAGCTGCTGGGCCACTAATGGCTCCAGGGGTGCCCTACAGGATGGAAAAGTGACCTGTGTAAGTTCATCGGGACACAAAGTGAGAACGACACAGAACCCCATGGGTAAGATATCTTGGGGAACTCGCTCTGCCTGTATGGGTTGTCGACTGCTATTCCGGAAAACCACAAGGCCGACCTCTAGCATCACCAAAGAGAGTCAAAAGGACTGCTTGCTCCCCTCCCAGAGCCGACTGCACGTTTCACAGCTTCATTCTTTGCCTAACTTCAGTAAACACATTCCAAAGCACACTACTGTGAGAATGCGGGAGGAAGGTGATGAGATCCCTGGCTTGCTGCCATGGCAGAGAGGGAGCCCCATCAGGGAGAAGTGCTCAGAGCCCTCGGAGTGGCATGTGTGCTGTCCAGGGACACGGTGGAATGGGTCCACACAGCCCAGAGCTGCGTCTTGATCAGCGAGGGGTCATGGGACTGTTGTTTAAACACTAAGTGCCAGTTTCAGGTGCTAATAAAAGAAGAGCAGGAGGGGGAGGCAGAAGGCCTGTGACCAAAGACTCAACGGCCTTCTTTGGCACTCCCACTCTATGACGTCTGACAAGCCCTATAGTTGCATTCTGCACAGACGCTCTGAACAGGGACCGCCTTTTCCCATCACTGTAAAGCTGTGCAGTGCCGTCATGGACTTTCTGCTAGAAAGCCACACCATGGCCAGGCACGTGCACCAGGCTTAGCCCCCTGCACACTCATCTTCCTTCTCTTGGTCTCACTTTCAGCACAACCAGTGTGACAGCCAGGGCCAGGGCGGGCCACGGCGCACCTAGGAAACAAAGTGAACGCCATGCATCAAAACACGGTCTAAAAATACATTTCCTAAAAGGGATGGTTCTTCTCCAGTGAGATGAGCCACAAGGGTGTGCATCGGGTCGTGGCTGCTTTGCAGTTTTCTTTCCCAAACATAACTAAGGTCATCAGTGAAACTTCATAAATCAGAATATCAAAATTACTGCTAGCTGAGAAATCAGTTCAGATCAGAACAGAGTTAATAGTTCAATATTACAGTTCTCAACTCAAACAAAAATGCTGATAGTAGCACTATAATTTTACATTTGAACTTTCTAAGAGACTGACATTACCCCAAACATATTGTTAGGAATGAGGTAACTGTCATTCTTCAAGGTTAATTAATTCCACCCGGAGTTCTACCTTTTTTCCTGTATTACTCTTTGTCAACTCAACTGTGGGTGATGTGAACTACGTAAAACTTGGTCACATTTGAATCCAGCCTCCTCTCTCCTAAAAGTAGTCTTGTCAAGAAGAGCAAAGTCTAAATGTAGAGTTTGTTATTGAAAACCTCATTCCAAGAGCCAGATTGCTAAATTATTTAAGTGAGGCAGGAAGAAAGACAAATAAATATGTAATCCTAATAAAGGAACAAGCAATCTATGGGGCATTCCTGCCACTTCCCTTTATATTTTCAAGGCATTTACACTCATCTTTTGACTTCACACCACTGGGTTTAATAGTGTAACATAAACTCATTCTTTTAAGATACACATCGTATGGCCACAGGCAAAAGAAAACCCTAATTATATTCCAACAGCTCTTGCTTCTTGCATCTATGGGACGATCCATCTGCCTAAATAATACTTGGCTTTAGGTCATGCTTCATGGTCCACATACAGTAATGTCTGCTCCTTCCAGCGAGGGCACCAGTGATCTCAATGTGAATTATGTGCCTGAGCAAAAGTCCACTGGAAATAACAAACCTTTAACGACAGAAAGCAAAGAGAAACATCTGGCCCAGTTTTGTGAAATCTGGGGGATAAAATCTTGGGGATCCCATGCTATGGGAGCTGGAGGAAAGGCCTTGGAGTGCTGCTCCTTCAGTTAAAGATTCCACGATGTTTTATAGCATTGTAACAGATGTTATAACCAAGGCTCCCGTGACAAGCATAAAGCATGCTATGCAAAAAAGAGAAGTTGGTATTTTACCTTTCCTTACAATTCAAACAGGGCAGGGTGAAAAGATGTGAGAGAAGTCATCCAGTAGGCAGTGACAGAATCATAACCTCACGGACTATTTCTGGAGTGCCTACAGTGTGTGGAGCTGGGGTAAGATGCTGGTAATGCACCTTGGAAGGACTCCTGGTACTGCTCTCAACAAAATTTTAATGGGAGGTGATGGTGCAACAGTCATGTTAAGAGATCAATTCTAATTGCATGACCTGAGCAGCATGAC